CGGGGCTTATTGCTTTTATATAACAGATCATATCACATTAAATACCAACACATGAACCGAAGTTGTCTACTGCCATCATAACTCTCCATGCATACCAATTTCTACAAAATCATGGAGATGAGGGAAACCTCAAGATTTGATCATAAACAGTTTTGATGTTCAAACCCGACCTGACACTTCTGCTGTAATTTAGTACAATTTATCATTCTCTGTGTTCATATAGCCTCAGCCTGCAATTACCTAATGAAACGGTGAAAGAGATAGACAGCTAATGAGATCTACTGCAAAATAAAGAGTCTTTAGGCACTACATTTTATTTTCTACATTACATTTTATATTTATTTTTTCCCAACAGCCTTAACGCCAAAATAACAAACAGTTAAAGATGCTCTCGATTGACAAATGGCCTCTAAATGCAATATATAATCAACACTGAACAAAGTAGATATTATTGGTGATGTTGTTTTTTTGTTGTTACAGCCTCAGCCATTGTTGACCTGCAACATATTTCACAAAATCTACAGTTCGACGGTACCTTACCTGGCCACAACAATGCAAATCACCACAGATACCCTCACTTTTGAGATATGCCATACATCCACATGATATATATATATATATATATATATACAAAAAAATAAAAAATCATACTAATGGCTTTGGGAAATAAATAAATAAATATAAAAAGATGCCGTTTCAAACAAACATCAAATATACTGTGTATATATATATAGTATTAGTTATCTATTTTAGTTTTAGTTACAGTTGTAGTAATATATATATATATATATATATATATATATATATACACACATATATATATATATATATATATATACACACATATATAAAGAAGAATAGTATAATATATGGAGTAATAATAATAAATAATATACGGAGAGTATATAGTTTTTACTTGTGTGTGTGTGTTTGTGTGTGTGAGTAAGTGTGAGTGCGTGTGTGTGTGTGTGTGTGTGTGTGTATACAGTAAGTGTATGGAAAAGCGTATTTAAGTCCAGTGTTTGGAAAAAATGAAAAACCTGTAAAAACCCAAGCATCTTTATCAGACCTGGAGTGCCCTCTAGTGCAAAGACTGCTGCGCTTTACATTTGATCAGTCAGACGTCTGGTTTTTACCACAAGGTGCTGTGCATAAAAGTGCTTGTGAAAGTAGTACATGAAACAAAACCTACATCGCCACTCAATATTATATGAATATTATAATACGCTCTGATCAGGATGAAGCTACACTTATGACTAGTGCAATAAAGGTCTCAAGGTCTCTACATACAGTCATGCCAAGCATCTCTGATATAGCTTCATGAATCTCACCAGTCTGTGACAGTGATCCTGACATCAAATGACATCTTAATTAGACCAATAAAAGAGATGCATTGAAATGTCATTCATAATAACTGTAAAAGAAGAAGAAAAACAAATCAAAACTCGACACCTCCCTTCTTTAGAACATGCCAATCCTCCAGAGCCTCCACCAATGACCACCAGATCATAATCAAATGTACCTGCTGGAATCAGAACGACATTAATAGATAATTCAACGACTTGCTTTATTATATTAATTTGCTCTTTTGCGCTTTTAATAATTTGCCTTTTACCTACGGCTCGAGTGTACGTTTAACAGCTGATTTAATCTACAAATACGAGTTTAAAAAAGATAAGTTCTTTAGAAAAGCGTTGATCTTTACTGCTTTCGACTAGAGACGTCTGATTCATTTGATTCGGATCTTTATCAATGAATCAAATGTTTACGAATCATACTGAATCGGTTTGATCAAAACGCATTCGATTTTTTTTAAACATTAATAATAATAATAATAATAATAATGTTAATGAATATTTACTTCTGAAGTGCAATATTTTAAATTATATTTAGATTGTAAATAACCGTCTTCATTACATAGAAAATAAACCAGGTTTATTAAAGTGTTCGAAAGAACCGATTCGTGGAAATGACTCGAACTTTCTTTCCATCAAACGGCTCTGCATCGCGCTCAGAATAGGAGGCGGGCCAAAGAATATTGACAGACCAATCAAAATGAACAGCTTGGTCAGCTGCGGCAGATGATTGGCTATGCCAGTGACCACACAGTTCAATGAACAATCGCAATAAATCAACTGTAGGGGGAGACAGACTGCGTTGATATCTCGCAAGTGCATTGAGTCATCATGCCTGTGGATATGAATGAATGGACAGGTTCTCTAGCGCTTACAGAGGTGGAGGAACAGCCAGCCAAGCCTCTAACGGTCAAATATGGCTCTTTGGAAATACGCTCTGGGGAAAGTGTTCACTCCCACTCAGGTCAGAGCCCAGTGCGCGCGCATGCAGGAATTAGCTTCAATGCTTCTGCATCACGTAACAGTCAGAACTTGCTGATATGCGTTTGCAATACGGTGCCTTTTTAACGCATTCTAAGCATTTGCATTGACTAAAGAGGGTTGAAATGAATGCATTCAGTCTGTAGTTACGTAATTGACGCAAGGGTCGCATGCAGCCAGAGTTGCATCTGTTTAGAAATCCCACGATCACGTGATGTAATGTGGACATGGCCGCGTGCAAAAAATGTGAGCTACATATTAATTGGCCACCGCCTAAATTAGAATAGAGACCTGAACAGCAATGCAGAAATTAGGCCGAAAGAATACAAGTGTTCTGAACCGATAAATGCATACAATTTCAAGCTAATTATGTATTTTAAATGTATTTGTAATTCTGAAATTGTTTGCAGGAAGAGTTTTGTTCATAACCTAAG